CATGCCAAGACAACGGCAGCGCTCGGGTTGCTTCTCTCGAGAAAGGGATGAAAGAAACCCGTTAGCATACGTTGCTCAGGTAAAGGTATTCGACCTCGCCGGAGAGACATATATAGCTTTCGCCTGGCGTTCACAGGTAGCACGACTGTCGGGTTTCTTGAACCACGGTGCAGCCTGAGAGAGAGAGAGAGAGAGAGGGGGGGGGGAGGGGGAGGCAACGCCATGAGGAATTGGCCTTGAGTGTGTTTACGAAGTTCGGCGGGACTCCCCGAAATCCGGGGATTGAGCTGACGCGGTACACTGCTCTCGTTCCTTTCTCTCGGGCGACACTGCGCCACGCAGCCTAATCCAGTTCAGTTGGGACAGGGAAGGTAGGTCAGAGCAGTTGGCTCACTTATTCTACGCGAAGAGCGAACAATGTGACTGAAACAACTCGTGTCAAAAGAGCGGATGGCTCGAAAAGATAAACCACCAAGGAGCCCATGAGTATTCCCGCGGTGCTTTGCTACAACAATCAATAAAATCGCGTACAACAACAAAAAAAAAAAAAAAAATAGAAAAAAAGAACGAGGTAAGGTTGAAAATGGGAAGACCAAAGGGCAAATTCAAGAAGTGAGCTTAGGCAAACAGAGGGGATATCGTGCTCTGTGAGAGCGCTTCCGCTACATTTTTATTTTATTCGACGTCATACGTCATATTCGACGTCATGAGAATAGTGGTTTACACCGTAGATGAAAAATTTAGCCAATGCAGCGTTACTGCTAGCCTGGAGTCTTTAACGTGCATCGTGCAGTAGTGATACAAGATCACACTCCAGTAAGATGATCATCTGGGTAGAAAGAGACGAGGGGCAAAACTGAGCCCATGGGATCCCTCGGTTCTGAAGCGCGAGCTTGCGCTCCATGTGCTCCGAGCTGTGGTACTCTAACACCACCGTTGGCTAACACACTCAACTACTGATCCTTCATTTTTCTCGTGACGGTGGCTACTCTTACCTTTAAACTTCCTTGGGTTATAACTACCACGTTGATTAGGGGTTCAAATGCGAATTCGACCGAAGTTGCTTCACAACCGAAGAACCCTTCACCGACTTACTCAGCTCCAGTTAGTGTATGATCCCATCACAGTATTCACAACAATTCCCCACGAACGCGACTCGTTTTATATCTTGCAGGGTTCTGATCTGATACACTGCGAAATTCTGCACCACCTTTTTTCCGGGCACTCTTGTAATAGACGGCAGTCGCAGCCGCGCAGTAAAAGTCTCATTAGTTGTACTTTGCATTTGAGTCACGTTGTAGCAAATGGGAATGGCATGCACCAGTCGTTCTTTTCAGCGTTCCTCCTGCCTCTAGGTACAGTTGTTGTCACTCTTTGATCAGCTAGCCTCTTCCACTGGGATATCACACTTGAGGCAACGAGGTGCCTGTTCAGTGAAGCGTTTAGTAGATATAATTTACAACATCAGTCGTGTTATGTCTTGCCTGCGTCCCTTTATGAAGATCTCTATATAGTGGGTTTAAAGAAATAACTAACGAACCGTTAGCAATCAATATCGGATGAGGGCGACTCTGAACAACGACGAAAGCATTGAGCCCGAGAGGTCGAAATCCTAAGAGAGTTTGACCATAAACAAAATTAGTGAGACTTGTTCACCGTGAAGTGTTGCTGTCCCGTTCTTTGTGTTGTGTCCATTATCCCGCTGTGTCTTCTAGTTCATTTTGATAGGTACAATAACCTACGGTACAATGAGTTACGATACAATGACCTACGTGATTGGCAGACTCGGCTATAGCTACTTGTGTCGTCAGCGATTTCAAGGGAACCCTTTCAACTTAAACAAAGAAGTAAAAAGGAGTGCTAATTTTAATACAAGGTGCTTAACTACAGTCAATAGAATCAGCTTACCACACTCTCAAGCCTATCTCCAACGCGGAAAATATATATATAAGTTTTACTGATTGTGTTTTACAAGTTTAAAACCAAAATAAAAAATACATTTGTATAATTTTTTTTTTCGCTTTACGCGAAAATAATGTTAGCATTACTGCGGTCTTGAATCTTCGTGGAAGGCGAAACAGGAAACGTGAATTTATAGTGCGTGTTTGAGGGTAGAGTGGCAGCCTGAGGACTGCGAGCCGGGGGGTCCCTAACAAAGAAGTGACCGAGGACACTGCTGGGTAAAGCAAGCCGACATGGCTATTGCCATCAGTGCCGGAAGCGCAGACGCGATTGCGGCGGGGATCTTAGACTAGTCAGAAGCAGTGACCACAGATTCCAATTTTGACGTGCGGCGCGACTCAAATGCGAACGTTTCTGTAGGTCGCTCCGTTTCACTTCTGATATTGTGACGCCTGGCACAACCCCTCGATCCCCAAGTTATAAAAAAATAACTTCACACGTTAGGAAAGGTATGTTTAAGCATCTCATTACCACAGTTTGTCCTCGAGCGCGGGACTGTCTAGACATTGAGATAAAGAATGGCATACGAACTCTCTTTTTAATTGCAGCGAAGAAATTGGAAGCAAATTACTATCGGAATTGTTAAAAGTATTTTTGTATACTAGACCAAATTTATAATCAGTTTGTAATTTGGACAATACTTATTTTTCCAACAACATGACTGTGTGGCTGTCATACCTTTGATTGTATAACAAGACCAATAATTTTCTGCGATACACCTACAAGATGAATATGTGCAAGTGTGCTGTCTTCTCGTACCAGTAAAAAGTAATTAAGGCGAACACAAGTCAAAGAGGCATAAATAAGACAGAGCACAAACGAGGGTAATGTATTTGTGTGCTTGCAACTACACCTATAATCTTTAACAGCTCTCTATCATTTGGTCTGCTTTGTCCCACCGCATGTATTTGTTAAAACTTACACCAAGACCGTTCACATTTTACAGTATTTCTAACGGCATGAGCCTATAGTGAGAATGCCTCATTATTGTAATATGTATTCCTTTTGACCTGAATATAACAGCTTTTGTTTTAATGTTGTTTGTAATTAATTACTAACAAATTCAAACCATTACGCGCATTACGCTTTTATATATATATATATATATATATATATATATATATATATATATATATATATATATATATATATATATATATATATATATATATATATATAAAGAGATTCGCCGTTATTATAATGCCATAAATGTTATATCCCGAAAGAAATATATGGTGCTGTCATCTGCATGCTTGATTTGTGATCAATGTTTACTGAGTCGTCGATAGTGAGCACACAATGGCCCTGGATCTTGGCTGCAACCGGATCCCTTTATCAGCTCCTTGCCGTGTAATGTTCCGCAACCAGACATTCCGAAAGTTTTATTTGGACGGCACCTTGTGGTATCAGACATCTAAGTTTCTTGCCATATTTGATTTGCAACACGGCACGCCACAATTTTCATGCATTGCGTTCTTCGCAATGCCAATTAAACCCCTGCACCTGTTAAAATTACTATATGAAACGACCGAGAAATCAGACCGCTCACACGAGCGAAGATAAATGCCGTGGAGCGGTAAAAACGCCTTGACTTTGGCCGCGTCCAACGCTTGCACCACGCCTTTGGCTTTCACCGTCTCACCCCCCCCCCCCCCCCCCCCCCCCCCCCTTCACTATCCATCACAGCAGACGGAAGACTTCTTCCCGTCATAAGCGCTCCTTCGTTAGCATGAATAATCGGCAGGCCGCTCCTGGGGCAGCGGGAGAGGGTATCGGATGATGGGGTCGAGGGGCCGTGGATGTGGTATAAGTTTACTCTTTGGACAAATGCAAGGTGTTTCATCTATGAAAATCTTCTAGCAGCACCTGTTAGTCAGGAATCGCTTTAAGGAGTCCCCTGAAATTGAGCATAGGTCATTGTCTGCTAATATGCAAGAGCTACGAGTGTGGACATTGAGCATGCGAAGTATCAATTGCACGTGACCAGTGTCCATAGCCACGCGACCTTTCTGTAAAGGGTACGGGCGGATTGACGCACATTGGCGTCGCGTGCACTTTTTTATGTTGTCACAATCTGACTTTTTTTTTTTTTTATGCTTCATTCCACAAACAGTACTGGAGGAAAGTGAGAAAGAAAATCGGTAAGGTAAAGAAGTGCTGTCTCAGGCAAGCGTGTACATTTTCTGCGTCAACAAGGTGCGTCTTCCCGTAAGTCCATTCAGCGACACACCTCGGTTCAGTCAATTTCGGAATGCTGCGGAAACAGGAAAAGCTGGAGCTGTCACTTGCCGGCGTCATAGCTCAAGCGTCGTCTCTGGTGTCTCGGCGCCTCTCGAAAGACAAACGAACGAGCAAATGGAAGGTCGTTGAAGCCAGCGAAACAAGCAAACGAAAGAGAAAAAAAAAAAAAAAAAAAAAAAAACAGAAAGAAGTTATTTGTTTTTTGTTTTTCTTTCATCGTCTGCTGCCTTGTCGCGCCCGCTAAATTACACATGGAGCGTGAAGGGGACTTCCATCTGCCGGGTTAAGGTTGCACGGTCGCAGAACCGTTCCCAATCAAAACGTTAGGAAAAAGTGAAAAATAAAAACGAGAGGAACACCCAAGCCCATTAATTAGAAACAAAAAAGTGTGGCGAGGCTTACTATACGAAACATGTGACAATGGCTCGATAGTCGCGAAGGTCTCTTCGTTTTTTTTAAGACGTGGAGAGATAAAAAAAATAAAAATAAAAACGCGTACGACTGTACACAAACGGGGAATCGCACCACGGACGTCATAAGAAGATTGTTTTCTGTTTCCCCCTACTACGCTCATGCCGCAGTAAAAATAGTCGAAGGCCTGATAAGCTGGCGGGAAAGAGCGGAGGAAGAGCGATTGAAAAAAACCAGTTCTATTGCATAGGTGTTCGGTAAAGCAGTTCGCTGCGAGGCACGCGAACAAAAAGCGAGAGTAATAGAACTTACCTCCTTCCCCATCGTTGACGCTTTCTCCTCTCCATCGCTTTAAATAAAGGTGAGTATACCTCCATACCACCAGGTTCGTCTTTCCCAAAGCAAAGGCTGACACCGGAGAGGTCGGGTCCTTCCATCCTTGCTGCCGAGTGCCACTGAAATTGCCGGGATGTCGTCGGCGAACATGACTGCAGCCGAAGTCTTTCTGCGCCGCGACCCGCGCACCCTTGGTTGGGCATTAGTCGGCAGCAAGCAGTTTCTGGCCACGCTGCTGCTCAGCTATGTATACATTGTCAAGATTGGTGGGCCACGCTTCATGAAAAGTCGCAAGGCCTTCGACAACCTGAAGCCAGTCATTATGCTCTACAATGCTTCAATGGTCTTCATGAACGCCTACTTCGTGGTCAACTTTTTGACCAGATCCTACTTCGGCGGCGGCTACAACATAATATGCCAAGGCATCAACTATGAAGCTCGAGACCAGATTACGCTGGAATTCCTGGAACTGTGCTGGTGGTACCTCTGGGTGCGGGTCGCCGACTTCCTGGACACCATCTTCTTCGTGCTCCGCAAGAAGGACTCTCATGTGTCTTTCCTTCACGTCATCCATCACGTCTTGGTCGTGTTTAACGGGTGGTTCGGACTAGCGTACGGCGCGGACGGGCAGGTAGCACTCGGATTGGCCCTCAACAGCTTCGTCCATGTCGTGATGTACTCGTATTACTTCCTTTCACTGCTGGGACCGTCAGCCCGACCTTACCTTTGGTGGAAGCGGTACCTCACGCAATTTCAGCTGGTTCAGTTTGTAATTATGTTCATTCATTGCATGATCCCCGTAATCAAGGAATGTAACTATCCGAAAACGCACTCGTTAATCACTATACCACAGGCCTTATTTTTCTTTGGTTTGTTCATTCGCTTCTACTTTAAGTCCTACAGCCGAACCTCTAGTCAGCAGCGTGATACCAAGGAGAAAGATCAGTGATACCTTGCGCTGGACTCGGTTGGCAAAACGTACACGAGAGCGATTGCTTAACTTTCAGAGGCGCTCAGCAACGTTAGTGAGAGTTCTGTATTGCAAAGCACGCGCTTTATTTGCTGCACCTCGAAGCGATGTAATCGCATCAAGGCGCAGCCTCTAGATGTGTCCGTTTTTTCTGTTGTTTCTTTTTGCGGCACGCTTTGAAACGTACGAGGTCGTATGCTACCAGGTACATCGATAAGCAAGCGATCTCAGGGATTACACTTTGATGTAGATGATCTGCAGTTGACAAGATTTATGCCGGACCAAAGTTGCCCATTGCCACCTGTCTTACTCTTCTGTTGCGTAGAAAGCGGGATTTTGAAGGCGGTGTTCTGTTTGGGGTGGTAGGATTGTGATGGTTGTGTTTTATTCACTAGATTCAGTCAATAGTTTGTTGCCATAAAAGTGAATGCTTGTAAGATAGTCAAAAAGCGGTAGGCATAATCATACACCAGTGCGAGCAGGCTCCTCTGGATGCTGCTTGTTTAATGCCAGCGTATACTGAACAGGTTCCACGAATGACTTGAATGAAATGACCGGTAATTGTTCTTCAACAAAACAAATGTTAGATGGTTTTGTTGTTCTTGTTTTAAACGGGGAGTGTGCTAGTTAGTTAATAGTTACTGTTGCTGTTCATGTTCGTGCCCCATTTTTGTTACTGCAGTCATACTGATGACCTTGCATTGTAAATAAAAGTGTTTATCTTTTCTAGTTTCTGTAGAGTCTATTTCGAGATTCTACCACGAATTCTTGTTGTGGTTTCACAATGCCACGATAAATGGGGTCTCAAAATATGGGCCATATCTGCAGGCTCAATCTTCCAGGCGGCTGGTAACCACGACAGCGGATATCATCCTTCACACATGTATGGATCGTGGGATGACGACCCTACTATTGCTGACGGCAGTGAAACAAAACAAAAACAAAGGTGAGTCAAAACATTAATTTTTCTTGGTTTATTTTTTTGGATGGAAGTAAATTGTATACAGATTATGCTTGATGTTCAGTCGTTTTGCGATCTGTTTAGATACAACGTGAATATAGTTGAATAATAATAAAACTAGCAGTGTAAAAGGGTTTTACTGTGACTGTCAATGAAAGCAGAAACTCCTTTAACCCTCATAAAGGATTTTCAGCTTTTAATAATGATATCTTTCAGCTGGGTGCTCGTGAAATGCTTTTACCCAAAATCTTGAGCTCCGAGTAACTCTGACGGAAAAGCCCTCTTGGCGCTGTAGTGCATTCTCTGATTCAAATATTTTAAAATTCAAGAATGCCTTCAACCGAGAAGGTTACAACTGTTTGCGTGGTATGTTTACCTGTGGTAGTTTGTATCAAGGACGAAATTCATGACTTATAAGGATGAACGCACTTTATACTTTATACTTTATTTCCTGGGTATTTTTTTTTTTTTTTTGTTGATTGTTGAGTCTAAAAGTCATCATTCATGTCGACCTGCATGCTGGTTTCTTGTCAAGTGTAGAATTGGATTTAATATTATTATCAGTATTTTACCCCCCCCCCCCCCTTTTTTTTTTCTTTCTCTTTCGCGATTGCCGCAAATTTGTTCCTACCAACTTTGAAAGGTTATTCAGCTCTCTCACGAGCCTGTTCCTTTTAGTGTGTTTTTGTCGTGCGAGTGTATAAGCTTTGGACTACCTACCACTTCTTACATTTGTAAGATTTATTTAAAGCCAAATGCACGTTTAAAATATTATTGATGTGTGATTAGCTCGCTGCCTAGGCCAACCATATCACGAAGTTCGCGTTACTAAACACACGCTACTTCTACTTTTAATCTCCTTTCCGCTACCCCGTGCGAATCTCGCTCATGCTAGAATATAGGGCGTCACGAAAAAACAAATTACACGTTTTTCTTTACCACAAAAATAAACTAGGCGTCGCCGAACGCTCATTCTCCGCCCAAAAATAGCGCTAGAAGTCACAACCAGATGCCAAAGTTCCAGCCCGATCCGACACCTTATTCAAAAGTTATCAGTGATTTTCTGAAAATTTCAATGGAAAAATGGCGGCCGACGGAGTGTTCGAATACATGGGCTCCATTTTCCCATTGAAATGTTTAGGAAATCACTTATAACTTCTAAATGAGGTATCAGATCGGGCTGAAACTTTGGCGTCTGGTTGTGACCTCTAGCACTACCTTTGGGCGGAGAAGGAGCGTTCGGCGATGCCTAGTTTATTTTTGCGGTAAAAAAGACCGTGTAAATTTTCTTTTGTGACACACTGTAGATAGCAACACATACGGGAAATCACTAACTTTCCGTCTAAATCGGAAAAAAAAAAATCTTCGAAAAGCAAGGACGCGAATATTTGTCAATATACCTCGTTGTTAAGTAAGCCAACTTCTAAACGAAAAAAAAAAAGTGATGTTGTTAAATTGCCTAACCTTACCTGCTCGCTGACTAGCCATTATTTTCTAAAATCGAAGTTTCAGGAGCTTGTCTCAACATTACGTGCGTGTGATCGCGGGATCAGTATTTTTCGTCAGAATGCCGCGCATCACGGACGCTACTTAATTCAGCTCGTTGGTAACCGGCTGAGCAAAGAGTTGGACGCATAGAATAATAATAGATAAAGTTGTCTCGTTTTTTACCAGCTCTTTATTTCGACACCGCGGCTCGGCGTGCAGAGTTCCTGCTTGCACTAACAATATTGCGCTTGCCTCAAATTACCGGGACTAGAAGGCGGTGCTTCTCCACGTACTATTTCCCGAACTAATCTCTTTACCGTCTCGTAATATTCCTAGAACGCAGTCTGTTTCACTTCACGCCACGTTAACACTTTCGCTTATTCAAATCCGTGCGTGTGGCTGTGAGGAAGCTGTGTTTCGGCTTTCAGAAGAGAGAATTATTCCACTAGGTGGGGAAACTTTCTGCTGTCTCATTTATTGGATTTCACTAAACTCTTATCCCAACGCAACTAAAGTAATTTGCCGCATTTGTTTTTTCTTTTTTACAGTGGAGGCAGATTATTCTGTTTATAGTGAAACAGTTTCTTTCTCGAAACCGCCTCATTTAGAACTTTACGTGGCACGGAAAATTTCCGCGGTCGCTCAATACTTGTTTTAAAAAAGTATCAAACAATAAGTGGTTGCATTGCTATGGCGCCTGCTAGGCAAGCTTCCCGTTTCACCGTTGGTCGCGGATTGAGCATCAAGTCACTCGAGTCTTGTTTTCCCGAGCTGGCATATTGTTTCTTGAAGAATTGCAACAAAAGATTTTGACCTCAGCATTCAAATTTATAGAATATCTCCCTCGTACTACCGCCACAGTAAATCTAGAGTTTGCTAACGCGCTGAACTCCTGCCTGACTCCGTATTATATGTTGTCCCTCCAATTATAACTAACATATGCGTGTTCTTATACTGGCAATCAAATTGTACCATCGCTCAAGAGATATTGTTCACTTATAATATTATCATGAGTTTCGATTTTTCACGACTTTCTCAACTGTGTACTGTGCTGTGCATTTTCAGTTTGTCACGAAGTTAGAAAGATTCAAGAAAGTAACATAATAGTAACCAAGCCACTCAGCAATCCAGCGTGCTGTCTTCCGTACCCTAAGCACAGAGCACGACACAGCTAACAAAAGCACGGGGTCGGCGGATATCATTCAATCCACTAGTATTTTACAATGTCCTCATGTGCGATGCCAATGTAGATGCTAAACTTTGATGTTCAACATACGAGGTCTGTTAATTGTATTATGAGACTGACACAATAACTCATCTTTGTTTATAGGCATTAAAATTATAATGCTGGTCCCCCTTCAATATACTTCCCCTTTTTACAACCACACACTATTGCAGCCTTTTTTCCACTGGCTGAAAGCGTGGGGTCGATCAGTTTCTGTCAGCTGGTTCAACACGACTGCCGTTTTCTTCTTTACTTCATCAGTTGATTCAGATCGTGTTTCTTTAAGCCCCGATCTTAACCTTAGGGAAAACAAAAAAAGTCATTTTGCCAAATATGACAAATTTGGAGGATGTTCAAGTGTAACCATGCGTTTGTCGGCCAAAGACTCCTTCAGCGAAAAGTTCTGTGTGAGCAGGCGTATTCTGTTTATAGAGAATGAATCATTCCTCCAGAGTTCTGGACTATTTTTTTTTTCTGACTCTTCCTCTCAGTTTTGTCAAAAGCTGGTTCACTGATTTACCTTCTTGAACCCATTCTTTAAAAATTACGCTATTGATGTCAAAAAAGCGATGAGCATGTCCTTCCATTTGGAATGCTTTGGCGTACTTTTTTTTCATCCTTGGTGATGACGATGTTTTACTGCGCATGGACTGCATTTTTTGTTTAAGGGTCGTATTGAAAGATCCACGTTTTGTCACAAGTGAAGATATTTTTTTCTTAAAGGTTCGTGTTCACCTCAAGTTGCTGCAGAAAGTCAGCGCAAAATTTCTTGAGCCTCTCTTTTTGTTCTGGTGTGAGATCCCTGGACACCATCTTGGCACAAAATTTTGTCATGTTGAGATCCTCATGCAAAATTTTCCACGCGGTACATTTTTCAATGTACAGAGCTTCAGCTATCCTAAACTGAGTCGCCGTTATTATTTTTTTTTTAAACAACCCGGATAGCTTGTTTCAACATTTTCTTCGATTTTTGAAGTGAAAAGTCGTCCAGGGCGTTCATCACCTTCAACATTCTCACGTCCTTCACTGAATATTTTATGCCACTCTAATATAATCTCACGAGACATGCAGTGTTCCCTGTAACTCTCAGTAAGCATTTAAAGAGATTCGGTGATGTTTTGTTCAAGTTCATTGCTCGACTTTTAAACTGAGCATTTTTCTGGTACACAACATAAAACACGAGTGCTTCAAACGGTGACTTATAATCAACTGAACGGCCGAGAGGGCTGATGTTTTCATGCAGGTTCAGACATGTTCAATGTTACCACTCAAGTGTTCACAATCGGTTATCCCTGCTTTATCTAAGAGGTAAACACACAGTCTCGTTACGTATTATACAGACCCTTAGGCTGAACTGCCTAATGTGAAAAGGCGCCAATGTCGGGTTCCCGCTTTTTCTGCCGAGCAGAACACCAACGCAACGCTTCGTTTGGTAGGGCCAATTTACTACTACTCAAGTTTCCAGCCTCGCATCTGATAGATTCGGGTTCTTTTGGCTTCAAACGTCCCATTTATGGTATGGACGCGTAGACAGCGGAAAACTATGTCTGCCTTAAAATTACGTCCCACTGTACGTGGGCAATTTGGACAGTGCGGTACTTCTAACTTAGGTCTTTAACCTGTATTCGTAAAGAAGGCGACTTTGTCAATGCCTCGTGCGCTCGTAGCTATAGAAGGGCACAAACGGTTATGTAAGCAGAGAAGGCAGGTATATACTAATTTATTATCATTTTTCCGCAATTTCCCGTGGGATGTACAAGCGTGAGTTTCTTTTCATGTGATAACAGCGTTGTTAAGGCCTCAGAAATCACATGTGTCGCCGTAAAAATAAAGTACAGGATGTTCAGAAAAAAAATTACAGGGTGTTTTTAACCGCAACATTGAACTATGCATCGCCGAACTCTCGTTCTCCGTCAAAATGTAGCGATAGAGGTTCAAACCAGATGCCAAAGTTTCATGCACTAATCCTTATCATATTCAAAAGTTATAAGTGATTTTCCGAAATTTTCAATTGGAAAATGGCGGCCGACAGAGCTCCTGAATACATTGAGCTCT